TATCTCACAAAAGCAATTCTGGGTGTCATACAACAATTAGAAGAATACATACATAAAGCAGTCATTGCTTTAAAAAATTTTTTTTAGTAATTAAATATTTTAATTATTTCCACCCATTCTAAACCCTAATAGGAATAGTTAAACTTCCCCACAGTGACTTCAGACACCTTTGCCATTGACTTTTCTCCTTCAGCTCTTCTCTGCTGCATCCCAGCACATCTCTTTGCCATTTCACCATTCGGGCAAGAGTCTGCTGGAACTGTTGAACTCTACCTCTGCTTGTCAAAGGGCTGGATATCTATCCAGCTGAGTTATGGTTCCATGGATGCAGATGAATGTTTCATGAGTTCTCTGATGTGGTTGAGAGATCCCCTGATTTGTAGCAGAGAATATGGGGGAGTTGTAAGGGAGAGCATTTGTTTGCCAGGTTATGTGTGGAGACTGTTAAAACCTTAATAATGTTTCTTTTTCTGTTGGCGCTTTGGTATTTGGGTTGGCGTTTTGTTTTAAAATGAATTTAATTTGTTGCCTCTGTATTTGGCAATTGCTTGAGAAGTCGGCTCTGTTTCCGATCTCACCAGTTCCTTGATTTTCATCATCATCCTAGAAATAAATCCTGGTTCCCTCCCTGACAAGCTGAGGCTTAAAAACGACGGTTTGCCTTAAAATTGATGCTTGACTTGTGTGGTGCCTGTGCCACAAGCAATCAGTGCTTTGTGAATGAAGGGATTCACTGACAAGGTACATTTAAAAAAACAATACATTTGCAATTAGATTAGAATCTGTCCCGATTTATTTTACTTGCTTGTGAAAATGCTGACTTACAAGAAGAATTCTCACCTTCTTGTTGAGCCGGGTGACTTGTTACTAATAAAAGATACTAGTCTGTCTGAACTGGCAGCATTTGCTTGTTGGGTAGAAATGGATGGGTTTCCAAAACAGGAATGTAGGAATAGTGCAGCACATCCACTCTACAGTATTTAAGGCTATGGATGGATTACGGTGCTCCCCTCTCTCCACTATCCCATTCAAAGGGAAAGGTGTCCTGCTCATACTTTGGGGAAATAGTCTACCCTATCCCTTTCTTTGAATTTGCATGCTTTTCCTTAGTTACCTTTATGGAGGTTACAAATCGTATTACTATCAATTCACTGCAAAGCTGTGTTTATTATGTACCAGCATTCAGGGCTCCTGAGCCTTTAATTAAATGTTTCTTGTTTGCAAGCCTTAGCCATGTGTTTCTATGCTTTCCGTTGATTACAGTATAGCTAGAGAGGTTAATGGTGAATAGATTCATAACTATCCCCTGAATAATTTATCTTAATTGTCCTAATATTACAAAACCTTTGTTTTTGCAAGGTTTGGAGGAGGCTTCAGTCCAATCATCATCATCTATCTTTCTCCTTCTCCTTCTCCTTCTCCTTCTCCTTCTCCTTCTCCTTCTCCTTCTCCTCCTCCTCTTCCTCCTCCTCTTCCTCCCCCTTTTCCCATTTACAGTCTAAAAGAAAAATAACACAATTTGTGTATAAACTGAAAAAAGAAAAGCAATATTACAAAGGGAATTTACAAATTAGAACTTCAGCTCTTCCAAAGAACAGAAATTATTGTAGAGTGAGTACGAGGTTATTCCTGGTAATCATCCAGCCACAGTTAATAAGAAAACTGTAGAATAGTAGGGTTTATGAAATGAAAATTTTAATTAATACTAGAGAAGCCCTTTATGAGTGGGATTTATGTCTTAATAAATTCATTAACTAACAGAAGATTTCTAGTCGTATTCCTGTAAGTGAAATGCATCAGATTTCCCCCTGCACAGTCTAGTTCAGAACTAGAAGCTCTGATTAACAATATTTAGAAGATTAAGGTTACAGCACAAGAATTCCAAGGAGTAACTTAATTTCAAATGAGACACCTTTATATAGGCAATATGATGGTAAAACTCTTGTCCATTTCCTCTGATTTTTATTACAAAAGACTGAAGCTTGCCTCTCTTGTGAAGGCAAAACAAACTTCATTGCTTTAATAAATGCTGCTAGATATCTTATTGGAAAAAAAAATAACTCTAGAAAATGGTAGCAAACTCTAGTCAGTGAGCAAGATTTTGAGGGGAAATCTTGCAAACCAGCCTCCTCAAAGCTTCTATGGAATCATTCTTCTCATGTGTTACTTCCAGGTCCTTTAAAAATAGCTAATCTGAAATTCCCATCAATCTGGTGGCAGGGGTGAAATGCTCCCAGTTCGGACCAATTCAACTGAACCGGTAGCAATGGTGGCCAGTGGTTCAGAGAACCGGTAGTGATGGCGGTGCGAGGCTCCGCTCACCCGCCTGGTCGTCATTACTTCCTGGTTTTAACCAGGAAGTAACCTGTTTTTTACCCTCTGCGCATGTGCAGAAGTGCCGCATGGCATGTGCACTTCTGAACTGGTTGGGAAGGTAAGTAGATTTCACCCCTGCCTGGTGGACAATAATAAATACTGATGGAGACTAATTCTTTGCTATAGAAATATGGTCTGCATTTCTTTCCTACTTTCCATAATCTGGATTTTTCTTAGACAATTACTTTTTGGTGATACAGTCAGAGGGGACAATTCCACTCCTTTCTTTTAACTTTCTGTGACTTCTCAGATCTAGTCAGAATACCAGTCCCATGTGGAACTGCATTTTAATTTCACTTCTACTTAAGGGTGGAAAAACAGGACTTCAAAATGACCTGAATATAGAAAACAGCTTCATTTTCAAACATTTAAAATTAATTATACCAAAAAGTACAATAAGTCATAGTCTCTGTAGCCATTTTCAGTTCTTGGTTGGCAATCTTGGTTTTTACAGTATGGATAAAGGTCTAAAAAACATGGAGTGATTATATAGTGACACATTATTTTCACTATAAATAAGACAGCATGTTAAGAAATGAAGAGAAAGGTATATTGATAAGGATGTCATTAGCTGATATCCAAGTCCTTTTAAAGTTTACAGATATTGTGACATGTTCGCATAAGATGTAAAAGTTTTATAGAAAATAAATAATAAAATAATTTAAAGATTCAGAAGTGATATTATTCTGTTTCCATTGCAAAAAAAAAAAAAAGGATTTTGGGGGGCCCTCCATGGTTTCAGTCACTGCTTCAAGTTGCATTTAATCGGTTTCATGAATATCCAACAGTATCATGTAAATATTTAAAGATGAAGCAATAATGCTCATTCATGTTCAAACTTTAATATTTTCTTAATGTTTTAGATGAGTACATAACTGCTATTTATATTATTAACTAAAGGCAATTCACATACATTGTTTCCATCTTAAGTGACACAGGACAATTAAGTTGGCCTCAAATATGCCATCTATATAATTTGCAATAGGTTTTCCTAGCAATCATTAATCTTTGTCATTTTCCTTCTATGCTACCCAATTTGTACTATATCAGTTGACTTTTAAGGATGGAAATACATGTTATTCCTGATACAGTATTGTCACTGAAATGGCTCTTCCATATTAACTATTCCCTTCACCCCCACTGGTAATACTTCTAATATTTCCATATTGTGACATGATAATCGCAAGTGGTTTGGTTATTCTTGCTATCACTTGCCGGGCACAATGAAACAGAATAGGATGCATGTGTAATTCTTAGACAAAAGGAAGCATGGCTCATTTTTGGAATTGGCTCTATATTGAAGCAATGCATATTTCCCCCTTAAATCAATTGGCAATACGTTTATCTGTGAATAAATGAAGTCACTATCAGAGCAGATACACTCTCATTACAAAATGTATTTATATATGTAAAAAAAATTATATGCCTCCCAGAATTGATTGACAGAGAGATGGGGAGGCATATAAATTTAATAAATAAATGAAAAAGCCTAGAGTACTCTGAAAGAGAACTATCAATGAAGCCTGTGGAGGAGTTAACTCTGTCTAGTGCATCATATTCCTTAGTAGGATAAGCAAACAGAGATGAAAATAGCTTCACTGTTCACTTCCATAAATGGATGAATTCATACTTTGCTCTAAGCCAATGTTTCTCAACCATGGCAACTTGAAGATGCGTAAACTTTAAACAGCTGGCTGGGGAATTCTGGGAGTTGAAGTTCACACATCTTCAAGTTGCTCATAATATAATTTTGATTTTGTTTGAGCTTAGCCTAGTGTACAAATGAGATCTTAACAAATAAGCTATGTTTTGTTTTAGCACAATAAGGCACAATTTTAAAGCACACTTTGTTGTTAGCTAATTGATTGCAGTTGTGTGAAGAGAGAAGCATAGGTATGATAGAGGTTTTTTTCTTTGTTTGCTTAGTATTTCCAAACATATTTATGTTTTTATGATCTGATCAAATATGTAACTTGTGGGGAAACAGCTACAGGGAAAAACAAAGCAAGGATTAGAGAAACTGTCCATGGTTATCTTTTTCATCTGCAGGATTGACTCTAGTTTGGACTCTTGTTCCTGTTTTGCTATCCCATGAGTTTTGCACATCTGTTGATTATGTTTGCTTGTTTAGGTTTCTACTCACCTCCCTCCCCCCCATCAGTTAGGGTTAGTGCAGGGGTTGGCAACCTTAAACACTCAAAGAGCCACAAAAGTCCTAACCGGAAGCCCCCGTTAATTCTGGAGCCAACCGGAAGTCTGGTTCCCCCATCATAGTCTCCTCCTATCGCGGCATCCTTTTTTCTCTGCTGACCGGAAGTCCGGTTTCCCCACCATAGAGTCTCCTCCTAGTGTGGCATCCTTTTTCCTCTACCTGTCCTAACCAAAAGCCCTATCGATTGTGGAGCTGACCAGCAACAGGGAACCGCAGCAGAGGAATGAAAGAGCCACATGCGGCTCCAGAGCTGCGGGTTGCTGACCCCTGGTCAGTGTTATCAGTCCATGATTGGCAGTTACATCTGTGAATAGCAAGGATATTGATCAATTTATGGACACAGTGAGCAAAAATATTTCAAACAGGAGACTTTAACGCTAGAGGCAGGTAAAAAAAAAAGCAACACAACTCCTGGTTTGTTCAATAAACCATTGTTAAAACATGCAAAAGCTTAAGTATATAACCTGTGAACTATGTTAGTAACTCTTGTAGCGTAATTCTGTATTTTTACTAAAGTATGAGGTAAAATTCTTTCTCTTCGCTTCTTTTCTTCCTATGACAGTGGATGTCCAAAACTGAAAAATTGAAGTAGAAATTTTACAAGGATGCAAAGCAAATGGCTTCCTTCAAAAGGCTTCTTCAAAACCTTTAGCTGGACAAAGGGTCGAAAAAGCAGCAGTTTGCAAGAGAAGTGTTGTGAATTGGTTTTAGCCACTCAAAAGTCAGCATCTATATTCTTCCACATTCTCAGTGGGTTGTGGCTTCTTTTCTTGTTGCAGCCTGGAACATAACAGCAGAAAAAAACAAATGCCCTAAATTCAGGTTTACTGGTGAAATGATTAAATAAGGATCATTTGTATGATTAAATGCTGAAAAGGAAAGTACTTTCCCTGTGAACCTGTAGTGCAGTTCTCATTACCCAGAAGCACCACATATTAGTTGCAGCAAATTAGCATTCAAGCACTTTCTGGAGTGGCTGCTAATCACAAGCTGTTAATTACTGTCATTAGGTTAGACTGCTGAAGAGAGCAACTGAGGAATCATTCTCATGATCTTGGTAGTGGAGAGTGATCTTCACCAATAATAAAAACACACGTCAGACATACAGAAATTGCAAATTGCCAAACTGCTGACGCGGTCAAAAAAAAAATCCGCTGACTCTTAAGTGGGATAGTGATGGATGCATTCTTGACACAGTCTCAGTGTTCGGGCTTAGGAAATAATGAGCAAGGGAATATGCAAAGATGAAGGAGCTCTTTGTATCCTTAATTAAGGAAAATAGGAGCACAGCCTGTTCACAGATAAGTGACTGTACATAATAATCATGTATTTATGTAAGGGATTGCTATCCCATATTACTGCGGTGGCAATTAAGCTCTCAGAAAGTAGTGTTAATAAGGGATGTACTTGAATAAGGAAGCACATAATTACCCTGTAGATTAATTGGGAGGAGAAGCAAGTTTTAAAATATTTACTGTAGTAAGATTCAGTTTCTCAAACGTCTACCAGCAAAGTCTTGAGTTGCTACAGCAGGACTTGCACAGATGAAATCCTTTAGGTGGTGCATATACAGTATTATAATTTTATCATACTAGGGGCAAATTTACCTAGCAAGTGGACATTTTGAAAGCACTGGGCTTTTTTAAAGCATGGGTGCTAGGTCTGGTTACGTTCATTTTGGATGATTAATAATAATTCAGTGTTTTATGCCTGAAACACAAAATGTGTTTGATTCATTTTTATACGATGCATAGGAATGTCACAAGAAGCATCATCTTAAAATAAGCATTCTATCCCGGGTGCAGGAAAATTCACCCTCCTCCCTTTCCTCTTATAGTGTGATCCTGATGGTATTATTGTGACAGTGGTAAGAGTGGAACTAAAAATATGTAAGTACAGTGAAAGCTCATTTTAATGGATCACTTGGGGAAGGAGTGTCTGTTCCTCTCAAGTGACCATTAAATACAGAATAATGTCATTTGCGTAATGCAGTCATTACATAAATGATGGAAATCACCGCAGATGTCATTAAATTAACCTAAGTTTAAATGCCTTGTCTGGATGTTTTCAGATGCAAGGAACTTGGCTGTTGTTTAGAAGAAGGCGTGGAGGGCAGGATGACGGACTCTATCTGAAGTCTGCTAAACAGAGGTTGGTTAAATGAAAGTTTTGCCATATTTAGTTTTGTAAATCTGTACTTTCCATCTATGCTTTCCTTCTCATCTTTGAGGACCTAAAGGGTATATATTGTGTTCAATTTTATTTGGGATGTTTGTATAAGAATGCACTGTTTTTCTGTGGGTTTTTTTCCCCTCCTTAGGTCTAAGCCAGGGGTCAGCAACCTGTGGCTCTGGAGCCACATGTGGCTCTTTCACCCCTATGCTGTGGCTCCCTGTTACTCAAAATATGCGTCACAACTGCCAATGTGTGACACCCGCCAACACGCAATTTATTGAGTTTTTCAACCCCTGGTAGGTCAACCATGGATAAATCCTTTTTCTTTTCTTCTTCTGAAGAAGGGCTGGCTTCTTCAGAAAATGGCCACTTTAGCAATTCCGTGAAGATGGCCGACTGAAATATACACCCAGGGAGACCTCTCTGAAGGATTTTTTCCCCCTGGGCTGTAGTTCTTCAGCTATTAACTTTAAGGGACTGGCATCCCTTCAGTTTTTATGACCCACCTGGATCAGGGAAAGTCTAAGAACTTCCTCTCAAGACCTACCGATACAGCTAAAAGCCTGCAAGCGGCTTCTGAGGTTGGACTTCAAAGCCATCTGCATGCCAAAAACTGGGCGGGGGGGGGGGGGGGGGGTGCAATTTGTTTGTGGTTGAGGAAGCTGCCGTTTTGAAATTAACCTTTCAAACAGACAGTAAGTTGTGCCTTTCACATCTTAATCATCTTCATCTTAATCTTTTCTAAGTCAAGTTAACAGAGGCTCCCTTTAGTCACAGCTTGCTATGCCATTTTGAAGACTTGCGCCATTTTAGGGATTCCTTTTGTGCTAAATAACAAAGAACAAGGTTGCTAAGGCAAGCCAAAATAAGGAAGTGTCGTCACCATATTGGATAGCCCCAAGCCCTTGTTTCTTAAAAATAAAATAAAAAAAAAAAAAAAAAAAACACGGTTGAAGTGATTTTCATTCTTTACCATTTCTTTTCCAGTCCATCTTTTTCTTTTTAATGGGCTGGTTAAGTCTGTTTCCAAAATAAACATTACAGGTAGTCCTCAACTTACAACAATTCATTTAGTGACCGTTCAAAGTTACAACAGCACTGAAAAAAGTGATTTATGACCATTTTTTACACGTATGGACCATTGCAGCATCCCCATGTTCGTGTGATTTATATTCAGATGCTTGACTACTGGTTCATATTTATGACGGTTGCAGTGTCCCAGGGTCACCTTTTACGACCTTCTGACAAGCAAAGTCAACGGGGAAGCCAGATTCACTTAATAACCATGTTACTATTTTAACAACTACCATGATTCACTTAACAAATGTGGCAAGAAAAGTTGTAAAATGGGGCAAAACTACTGAACAAATTTCTCACTTAGCAGCCTAAATTCTGGACTCAATGGCGGTTGTAAGATGGGGATGACCTGTATCAGAGACATTGAACTAGGTTGCCCCCCCAAAAAAACAAACCCAAACATCTGAACAGCTTCAGTATTAGATGGAAGAAAACGTTTAGATGTCATCTATTGGATTTTTGTAGCCAAAATATGATAACCTTCACTAGGCTGCAGATACCCAACAGTGTATTAGCTTTAACTTGACCTCTGCCCTTCCCTCCCCCCCACAAAAAACCCCAAAGTTCCTTTGCCCCACAGATAAAGCTTGGAGAGGGGAAGCAAAAAATCTGTAACCCTATTCACTTTGATGATGCCACAATTTTGCTGTTCCACCCATTCTGACCTTTACTTGTCACAAATTAATATTTGAATAAAATATCAATGTGGTTGCAATAAGGAAAAGGGAACACTGCATGAAAACGACTGATCACATTAGAAATGGAATATATGAACAAAGGATAGCAAGTCCTTCCTTGTTGTTCTGCCCCAGCTCCGGATTCCCGAGGATATTGACACACACCAACGGTCCTTATCAAATTTATTAAGTAGCAAGAATAAACCAAAGTCTGGCAAAGGTTGGCAACCAGCCCAGAAAACAAGATATGATAAGACTTTTCCAAAAATGCTCTGATGATAATTACAAGTTGTTTCCGCAAGAAATTTACTAAAGACGTGTGACTTAAATAGGCTAAGGGAGTGGCCAATTATCCTCAAGCCTTATTCTCGAGGACACCTCCTCCTCCTGAGTAGCCACTCTTGCCTTTTGGCAGCCCTGCGTGCTCAAGTATTGAGAAGAGGTTCCTCCACTTCGCTCTCTCCACTTGAAGGAGCCTCTGGAGGTTCTGAAGGCCCTGGATGAATCTCTGCCTCTGGCACCACATCCTCTTCAGCCTCCTTGCTGTCCGATGTGAGCGCTGGCTGCGCTGGCTGCTGGCGCAACACCACACCAGCCTCCTCGCCGTTGGGATCAGCCATGATCCACGCAGGCCGCTGGCGGGCCACAACACTTGTGTCTCAGTTTTGTAGCATGGTAACTCCAGGGCCATTTCATTTGAAGTTGTAATACATTCCAAAGCTTTGTATAGAAAAAGATGGTGGTTCTATTAATGTGGGGAGCAGGGGGCTTTTTTTTTTGTAATCGAACAGGAGAAATGTGATACCACCTTCCTGTTCTCTCTGCTAAAAATATGATCTGGATTCAGCCACTGCAGATTATGAAGGCCTTTGGTGCTACTGGGTAGAAAAGGAAGCCCGAATAAACCAGCAGTTGACACTGATAGGATACAATTACGTTAAACAACGATCCTGTTAGCAATAGATTCTAGACAAGCAAAATAACTTGATGTAATAGAAGGGAAAAGGATGTTGAGATGATCCATTAGTACAGGGGTGTCAAACACAAGGCCCGTGGGCTGGATCTGGCCCGCAATGTGGTCGGATCCGGCCTGCAGGGCTGGCCTGGAAAATGTAAGGGGCCGGCCGCATCACTTCAGCCCAGTCTATCCAATGTGAAGAGGAAACATTGGGCCAACATGGCTTCGGCCCGGTCTACCCAGTGCAAAGAGGAAACAACAGTTTGGGGAGTGGCATCAAGCTGGCCACGCCCACCCAGTCAGCCACGGCCATCAAGTCAGCCACACCCACCCAATCAGCCACACTCAGTGAATGGCATCAAGCTGGCCATGTACACTCAGTTGGCCATGCCCATCCAGTCAGCCACACCCACCCAGTCAGCCATGCCCAGTGAGTGGCATCAAACTGGCCATGCCCACCCAGTTGGCTACACCCACCCAGTGGGCCATGCCTGCCCGGCCCCCCGAGGTCAACCACAGAGCCCTGATGCGGCCCTCAATGAAATTGAGTTTGACACCCCTGCATTAGTATAACTGGTTTCTGGAAACTGTTAGATGAATGGATTGAATTTTGATCTATTAACAACAGTAAGTAATAACAGCTCACATAAAAACTTGATAATCATCAGTTCAGCTCTGATTATGAGGCACTGGAGAAATAGTTAATAGATCTTTGCATACATATACACTTTTTAAAATGTAAAACAAATATTTTAATTGATTAATGTATATTTATTTAAATTTTTTTACACTTAACTCTCGCCAGACTAATCATCATCGTCATCATAATATTAAGTATGGGTTTTTTTACTATTTAAAGTCGTAGAGACTATAGAAACCAGTAACTGCAAACA